TCTTATACTGTCTATGGAGGTTCTCAGTCATCCAGGTCATGGTTGTCTCACAGATGCTTTTTCAAAAGGCAACTGGACTTTCTTTGTGTTTGCCTGAAGACATTTTGCTTCTCAACCAAGAATGCTTCCGAAGAACTGAAGAAGCTTCTTCGATTAAAAGCAAAATGTCTTCAAAGCAAAAACAAAGAAAGCCCAGTCACCTTTCGAAAAAGCACTCTTGGAACCATATAGGTGCGTTCAATATCATAAAAGGGCTTGTGTTGTGAAATGGCAATACATATTTTTCCATTTGCCCTCCTCTTGGACACATGAATTTGACCATTTCTTTCCTCCAATTTGTTTAATACTTGGGAGTAAATGGGTTTTTCGATCTGTTATGAACCAAATCAAACTGTCAATGGTTTGAATTCTTCCCCTTCCTCTCTTTTGCCTTAGTTAAGAAAGAAATGACTGAATCCACCACAAAAATAGGGTTGCAATATGAACAGTTATTTTCAAAATGTCAAAATGTAGTAAATTACTGATTTACTAGACCAATGTCATCATGCTGAAGTTGCCAGAAAAGTACTGAAAGTCAGTAATTAATTGAGGACTAGTTTGTGATATTTGGACTGCTTTTAGTTACTGAACACTTATACTTTAAAATGGGTAATTCCATAATTACCTTTCTTTGAAGCAGACTTGTCAAGATTCAAAGCTCTAGTCAAGCTACACCAAATTCATAATCCAGTTAAACAGCACCAGCAATAGTTAAACTAAACAATTGCTTTTAACTATTAACTAGGGTTTAGTTAATAATTTCCATTACAGATGATAAAGGAACTGGTTCATTGTGCTATTTGCTCAGTTTTCATTTGGAAATGTGGGAAATGTTGACCAAGGTATTTAGAGAATAAACTTTTTAAAATATAAGGTTTAATACATCTTTGACTTAATAACTACTCCTTTAAAATAAAATTTGGGTACTGAATTAAGTGCCTCAAAAGGTAGTTGAAACAAGCAGATTTCCTAGGAAGAAAGGAAAGCAAAGAAACACGGAAGAAATATTTATATTCTCCAGTATTTCATTACAATAGGAAGTGGTAACTTCTTCAAAATTTGAGCTGTATTTCAGGAAAAATTTGATGAAGAAAACAAGAGAGCAGATGAAACATTCAGCTTAATAAAAGGAACCAAGTTAGAGAATAGCAGAACAATAGTGGTTTAGAAATCCGCAATATTACCCGATAAGAAGCCAAATTTATTTTTATATATGAAATGCTACTGTAAAACCATTTTTTTTTCTTTCTTAAAGCATGGAATCAGAAAACAATATAGAAAAATAAAGTGTAATTTTATCAGTGGAAACCTTCTACCTATTTTCTCCTTTACATTTAAAATTAAACATTCAGTTCTCTTCACCATGAACTACCTTACACTTTTATTTAGACATCTCAGACAAGAAATGAGTTAGTATATGTGTGCATTTAACAAGTACAGAACACATATACATACAAAATAATTGGAAAATATAGTCAATCAAGGAACTTTCCTATTAGAGGTTCAAAACCACAGGAAACCATCCTGTAGCTTTTCAAATCCTTTATCAACAGCCAGGAACTAAATGAAATATTATTAATATTGCATGAACCCAATCAACATTTATTTTGCAAAACTAAGTAAGGCTCAAGGCAATAAATTACTTATTCAAAATACAATTATTCTTTTTTTTTAAGTCCCGGGAAATTACAGCCAGCCATGGGAACTACTATGGATGGCAGTAAATTAATACTGTTTTGTGTAATGTGAAGAATATTGCATTCGGTATGTACTTAAAATTTAAAAACGCAGCTGATTTTTAAATCTGCCTTTCAGAAGCCAAAACTAGATGTCAGTGGTAAGGATCTCATCCTTGTTGTGAAAATGCTGTATCAGCTACGGGGCTGCCTTTGAAGCATAAACATATTGATTTGCCAATTATTGTGAAGATTGCAGCTAAATAATATTATGCAGCACTTCCTATTCAAAGGCAAAAAGATGCCAGGTACATGTTTTCATTCTTGTGTGCTTTGAAGCATCTTATTGACCTCAGACTTGAAACCCTGCACAGCTTTACCAAAAGCACGAGGCACTTTTGAACCCTTGAGAGCTCTACTGGTAATCCTTGACTTACAACAGTCCATTTAGTGACCGTTCAAAGTTAGGATGACACTGAAAAAAAAAAGGGACTTATGATCCTTTTCGCACTTAAGATCATCTTCCCAAGGTGACATGATTGAAATTGAGATGCTTGGCAACTGACTCAAATTTATGACGGTTGCAGTGTCACATTTTGTGATGTTTTGACAAGCAGTCAATAGGGAGGCCAGATTCACTTAACAACCAGTTTATTAACTGAACAACTGCCTTGATTCATTTAACAAGCGTGGCAAGAAAGGTACTAAAATGGGAGCAAAACTCACTTAGCAACTGTCTCCCTTAGCAATGGACGTTTTGGGCTCAATTGTGATGTAAGTCGAAGATTACCTGTATACCAATCTTCTGCCTTTCATTACAATTCCTGTTCCAGCTAGTTTTGACAGTTTGGCCTACAGTTTATGGGCTAAAAGCTGTCTAGATATTATAGTTCAAGGTAGCTAAAAGAATCCCGTTTGGGAAAGGTTATGTTAATATGAATAGCAAGCTTTGTTATTCGAATGACAAGTTTATTAGAATTAGATCCAGTTTGAGCACACTAGCAGGTAAAATATTATATAAAATGGGAGAGAAGGAGAGAGAAGCAAGAAATCCCAACTCCAACTTTTGAATCTGCTGGTGGCTCTCACTAAACAAAGATGCATTTTATTTGGATTGTTAGTGAGATGCTTTGTTTCTTTATGTCTGGAGTTCTCTGTCCTTGTTTGGAATGGGCAAATGTTGATTTGAAAAGATGTTTTGAAATTGAGAGAGGTTATTTTAGAATCACAGAAAGCTATTCCAATTATACCACAAATATTCTCAGTTAGAAACAGCCCTCATAGGATGGAAAAGCTCATCGGATGGAGCAGCCCAACAGCTGCTTCAATTCTACAGAGGAATTATTGAGTCTGTAATCTGCACCTCCATAACTGTCTGGTTTGGCTCTGCAACCTAACCAGACAGACACAAACTTCAATGGATAATTAGAACTTCAGAAAAAACAATTGCTTCCAACCTGCCTTCCATTGAGGACCTGTTCTACCATTGAGAGCATTTTGGCATACTGTGTAACAGTGTGGTATGCTGGATGCTCTGCAGTGGATAAGAAGATGCTCCACAGCACAAAAAATCATCGGTTGCTCTCTTTCTTCTTTGGAAGAGATTGCAAAGACCAGACTCCTCTCCAGAGCACTAAAAATCTCCACAAACCATTCTCATCCTGGTCATTCATGTTTCGAACTGTTATTATCAGGGAGATGTTATAGATGTCTTAAAATGAGGGCTAATAGACTGAGAAACAGTTTCTTTTCCAAGGCAATAATTGTCTTGAATCAAACAGTGCATTTGTGATTTAGTCCTATGTATATAGTGGCATTTTTAAACGATCTAACTTAGATAGGTTTTAGACTAGATTTTAAATTATTATTATTATTTTAATTATTTTAATTTTTAAATACTCTGTAGTGTGATTGTGATGTGGTGTTTGGGGCACTGTGCTGGAGTAGCTTTCAAATTTCATCGTATTCGTAGAATGCAATGACAATAAAGGTATTCTGTTTCTATTCTATTTCTATTCTATACTGCATGAGTCAAAAAGAAGGCTGTGAAAATATCAGAAAGAATAGCCAGAAAGAGGGCTAAGAAAACATCCATAGACCCCTCACATCCTGGACATAAACTGTTTCAATGTCTTCACTCAAAATGACGCTATAGGGCACTGCACACCAGAACAACTAGACACAAGGACAGTTTTTTCTCAAATGCCATCACTCTGCTAAACAACTAATTCCCACAACACTGTCAAACTATTTAGTAAAACCTTTTACTATTCTTCTTCTCATCCTTCCTCGTACCTGTCTCCTCCCACTTATGACTATAACCTTGTTGCTTGTATCTCTGATTTATATTGTTTTGTTTCCTAGTATGGTGGATTGCTTATTTAGTGACTTATGACTATCACTAAGTGTGTATGTTATGATTCTTGACGAATGTATTATTTTTTCTTTTATGTATACTGAGAGCATATGCACCTAAGACAAATTCCTTGTGTGTCCAATCACACTTGGCCAATAAAGAATTCTGTTCTGTTCTGTTCTGTTCTGTTCTGTTCTACTCTACTCTACTCTACTCTACTCTACTCTACTCTACTCTACTCTACTCTACTCTACTTTAGTCTATTGTATTTGGAACTATATTGCATTGGAAAAAAATGTGTGCACTACTTGTTTTGTCTAAATCAGATTGGCATGAAACTCAGAAGTGAAGAGCTTGTGAAAGTTATAACTACTGAATTAGATGATTGAGTATATCATTTCCTTTCAGTCCAATTGTGTGTTGAAGGGTTCAGTGTAGCTTTTCTCCTCCAACTTGAGGTTCTCCATATGTGTTGGGCTGCTTCCAGGATTCTTAGTTTGATTTAACACATCTGGTAGGAACTGATTTGGGAAAGGTTGTCAAAGCCCAAAAGGTGTGTTTATTTACAAGGCTGGGGAAGAATCTTTTCAATCTGGATAGCAACAATTCTACGAAGTTTTTCTAAAACTTTAAAATGGGAAGTATAGGGACCTTTAGACTACTGCCTGAAGAAGAGTGTGACTCTTGAGAACAGATTGATTCTATTCTAACAATATTCTGAAATGTTTGGTACCCATAAAACTTTGCTATCCATAAAAGGTGATAATTTGAATGAGTATCAGCATGTACTTTAAGGGAACAAGGCTAGTTCAAGGAAGAATGATTCATACAACTATGTAAATAACAGGATTATATACAGGTAGTCCTTGAGTTACAACCATTCAGTTCGTGACCATTCAAAGTTATGATGGTGCTGAAAAAAGAAGAGTGACTTATGACTGGTCCTCACACTTACAACTGCTGCAGTGTCCTTGCGGTCACGTGATCATGATTCAGATTTGCAACCGGCATGTATTTACAATAGTTGCAGCATCCTGGGAGTCATGTGATTTGCAATCTCCCCAGGTGGCTTCTGATGAACAAAGCCAAATTCACTTAGAGACCAGGGGATTTTAATGACCATGGCAAAAAAAAAAAAAAAGATCATGAAATGAGGTGCAATAATGTGACGACTTGTTTAATGAGTCATATTGCTTAGTAATGGAACTTCTAGTCCCAATGGAGGTCATATAAGAAGACTACCTATGTGGATTCTAACAGCCTTGGCTCCAGCTTGCTTAATGTTCAAACTTGCCTGCTCTGATCAGACCAGTATAATGCATATATCTAGGTGTGATGCCTGTATGGTTAGATGCTAGATACTATTGCTACTTTTATACTTCTACTGCAGCACCAGGATTCGGTAAACCTAATATACCTGTATGTGTTGGTGGCTGTCTATAAATTAGCCATTTGGCTAATTTGGTTCTAAATGGCTAAAATGGCTAAATTAGCCATGTTGCCCGTACAGGGTTTCCTTTTTCCTTAAGTTGGACTGTAAGTGTGCTTAAGGGTGTTTGTGCAAAGGATTTTGTGCAAAAGTATTGTGAGTACATGCACGCATGAAGGGTTTTAAAAGCCAACTAGGAACTCAGCCAAACGAGTACTGTCCTCATGCAGCTTGATTTTCATCATAGGCCTGAAAACATTCAGCCCTCGAGTTCACTTGTTTTCTAAACTCAATCCCAGATTTGCATTCAGAGTTGTCAATCTGCTTTATTAAGGGTAAGCTGTCATTGGCATTTAGCACTTCAAATCAAAAGGCTACAGATTCAGGCTTTTTAGCATAGTTCGGTAGTCACTGGGCAAATTAGCATGGACAGCTCCTTCTCCCTTTTATGTTGCACATAAAACCAGGCACTCTGCTTTTATCGCGGTGGCCTCGCACTGCAGATGCAGTCGCAACGTTCATGGTGCTCCAGTTGAATATCGATCAGTGACATGTTGGGCTTGGTTTTGCCTCTCCTCCTGAAATTACCTGCTTCAGGGATAAATCTCAGCACCTAGTTAGATAAAAAGGGAATCAGAAGGCAATTAGAACATGTACGAATCTTCCAGGTACACCACCTCTCAATAATGTGGAAAGGTAATATTATTCTTCAGCCTTTGATTACATATTGATCTTTTGCATGTCTAGTTCAAGTTCAAAAGAAGCTTTTCCCTCCCATCAACTTACATCTAGTATCCTCCAGGTATTTTGGAAGTATAGGAAATGGGAGGCTATGATGATAAAGCCGTATGAATCTCTTGGATTAATTTCAAGAGAATTTCATCAGTTTTGAGGTGATCGGTCAGAATGTTTAGTAGAAGTGATTTGTCTGTTCCCTGGTAATCATCCTTAGGAGAGGAGAAGAGGGAGAAAGGAAAAGGGAGGAGAAGAAAAGAGAAAATAGGGGGAGGAAATGGAGAAGGAGGTGGTGGTGTTAACTGGGATAAAAAAATGAGGAACCCCCCACCCACAAAAAAGAGAGAAATGATGCCTAATCATCACAAACTCTTGGGTTGAGGCATATGGGTCATATGCCACCACTGAAAAAAGATAAGAGAAGATGCTTATTGTAACTATAACCCAGGGGCATCAAACTTGATTTCATTGAGGGCCACATCAGGGATGTGTTTGACCTGGGGGGGAGCAGGTGGGTGGGGCCAGCTCAATATCACTCATGTTGGGGGCAATTGTGGTGGTCGCAGCATTCTGCCAGTGAAAAGTGAGCTTGAGAGGGCTGCGCAAGGCCCTCTCATGCTCCGTTTTTCACTATGATGGCCTCCTGCAGCCCTCTGCCAATAAAAAGAGAGCTCAGGAGAGCCGCCACAGCCAAAAATGGAATGTGGGAAAGCCTTGTGCAACCCTCCCGAGCTCTGTTTTTGCTGGCAGAGGCACTGCAGGCTAGTCCTTCGCTGTTTCCAGGGCAGCCCCATGGGCCAGATCTAAGCACCCAATAGGCCGTATCAGGCCCCTAGGCCTTGAGTTTGATATCCCTGCTATAATCTGTTTGGAACTTCATAATTTTCACCAATCCTGTCTTTGGAATAAGGCAATTTGGTAGTGGAGACAATTTCTTAATGAAACGATGGATGCTTCTTTGCTACAAACAAAGAAGAGTTTGGTTCTTTGGAAGATTTAAACTGGTTTCCTGCAATGAATAAGGAATTAAATTTGGTAGCTTTGTTTCCCCCTCCCCACCCAGCAATTTTGATCATCCCATCTCCAAAAGGGTACTATACAATTGAAAAGAATATGGGTAAAGGTAACCAAAATAGTCAAGGGGCTGAAACAATACCCCTATGAGAAAGTTTTTGGACTTTTTCACATATACAATGTGAATGTACGAATGGAGAATCTGGGGTAAAAGAGGCACACAAGAATGTACAAGTTTATGTCTGATGCAGGAAAAGTGGTGGTAGAAAACAGTGAAGCTAGAAACCTTCAATGACCTAAGATGTGAGGCATAAATGTAGTAATGAATTACTACAGTAAATAACTATGGAGCCCCTAAGAAAACATTCTTCTCACAATCCCTTAATACGTCAAAGGCCATATCAGTCCCCAAAGTGGACCCATGATAATAAAACTGAGATGGAAAGTACAACTGGTATGCCAGATTTATAGGAATATAAAATATTATGATGTCCTTATGCATTCCTATAGAATTGACAATATAAAAGAAGAAGAAAAATATGAGCCTGTCCAGAATTTTTGCCTTGTGACTCTATTGAAAACCCTGAAGGGTTTTACTTAGGTACTTCCCTTTAGTGAAGAATTGGCTTGACATACAAACTCCATCACTCTTTATATTTCTGTTCCTCTTTTTTTTTAAAAAAAATCACCTTTTTGATTTACTAGTGAGGGTTGAACAATCCACTGGATGAATTTCAGATTTTTAAAATGAAGTTTATATGGAAATAAATTAAATTTGAGGCCCAGAGTTGAAATTGTGTGGAGAATTGTGGTTTATCATTAGGCATGGATGATCAGGCTATTTGCAGTTATCTTAGTTTCACAGGTATTCACTCTCTCACATGCCTGTATTAATATATCTGTGGCAACTGCCACTCTAAAGGACTTATTCTCACCGAGAGTATATGGGAATCTTATTTTGCAATATTACAAATATTACAAAGGGATATTGTTTCAATGTCCCTTTGGCTTTTTTGTGAGAGTCTTCCTTTTCTGTTCCCTCTTTTCTCTTTATGGAGATTGTTTTTCAAGGTTGCTTGCACTACCTTCTTCTGAACTTAGGATCTGCTCCTTGACCCAACTTGGTCTTCTTTGGCCAAATGGCTGGAACGAGTGATGGAGCATCTTACCCATTAGAGTCCACAGGTCAAAAGGAGGCCCAGGTAACTTGGTAAGACATGTCCCCTATCATCACAATGGGCCTGTCCATGAAGAGTTAAAGCTGTGGTGAAGCTGAACAACTATCAGAAAAATTCACGACCTCCAGAGGTTGTGAATGCTCCAACACTGGAAGTTTTTAAGAAGAGTTTGGATAACCATTTGTCTGAAGCAGTGTAGGGTTTCCTGCCTAAACAGCTGTTTGGACTAGAAGACCCCCAAGGTCCCTTCCAACTCCGTTAATCTATTCTAAATGCTGTGCTAATTGTCCCAGCAGCCAAACAAGAGATCTGTTGTGTTGATCGTTCCCTAAAGTGAAGCTGGCCAGCAGAAAAAAAATGCTTCTGGAGAGCACCGTGCTGACACAATAAGGAAGGGCAAGTGTATCTAAAAAAGATACTGTTTTAGAAACATGTGTCTAGTAAATTAATGCACTATGTTGCTTATGAACATTTTGGACCATGTAAGATTGAAAAAAAAATACTCAAACTGAAGACGACTACACCTTATTTCAATATTGGATAGTTTCCTTCCAGATCTGGAATAAACAGAATATTATCCATTCATAATTAGGGATTTCGGTGTTATAGAATTTATAACGATTTATATACAAAATGTAAAATGCTGACCATGCATGCGGCAAAACAACCACAAGGTGGACTTCTAGTCAACTGGGCATAAATGTTAGTTATATCACAGTTCCTTTGTGATGTGAATAGGGCATACTGGCATCACCATATGTCAAGTTATTATTTATCTATTTTAATTAAAGACCAGTAGCTTTCAAGAGTATTATCAACAAGACTTTCATGTGAATCGATTTCTATCGTTCCTAATGATGGCATAATTGTGACTTGCCTTTCGCTTGCAGCACAGTTCATGCAGCACAGTAATATCTACATGGATAATAACCAACACATCAGCATACAAACTTCTCAGCTGGTCCTTTCCCTTCTTAAGGTATTGGGAAAAGGGATTCTCCTCTACCACGTATGTAAGGTTAATTTTGAAAATCCTGAGTTCCTTGTGGAACTGGCATGTTCTCCTTTTTAGATGGTTATATTGATTCTAAGATACAAAGGAAGTCAGTGTACTACTGTCAGTTATAAAAAAAAAGTGGCTAGATTAATATGGAGCAAAGCAATGGTCAACAGCCTTCCTTCCGGATGAAGGAGAGAAAGGGAGAGAGAGAGAGAAAACATACATACACAGAAAGAGGAGGAGTAAGAAGAGGAGGAGAAGGAGGGGAAGAAGAAAAAGAGGAAGAGGAGGAAGAGGAAGAAAAGAAGAAGAAATAATGAATGAACCGTTCCTGAGTTCACATCTATCTTACCCTTTGATGTATCCAAAATTGATTTATTTTCATGGGTCCTATTAATATTAGATTTACACTCATTGTACTGTTAATTCAGCAGTAAAGGCAGAGGTGGTATTCAGCAGGTTCTGACCAGTTCTGGAGAACCAGTAGCAGAAATTTTGAGTAGTTCGGCAAACCGGCAAATACCACCTCTGATTGGAGATTTTACAATATCCTTTCCCTGCTACACCCACCAAACTACACCCACAGAACCAGTAGTAAAAAATTTGAATCCCACCAGTAAAGGATACATATACAGCACATCTAAATTTATCATGGACAGGTCATTTGAGGCTGAAGCTAGAACAACATCTTTAATAATATTAGTCTGTAATATCATAAGAATAGAAATACCCTTATGGCACATCATATAAGTAAATTTCCTTTATTTTATATATGGAGCCCAGGAATGTAGGACTTTCCACATGGAACTGACCACATAATCGTTCCATTGGCTACTATCTGACATGTCAACAGGCAACATAATTGTTAAAATTCAGCAGATTCATCATAAATTATATTAACCTTTGGCTACGAGGTAGGTATTCCATCTCCATTTTGGAATTGGTATATGCATTTTTCCTGCTTCTGTCCATACAATAAATTCAAACTGCTTTTATACATTTTTCCACATCACTAGCCCAGGCAACTAAGAAAATTAAGATCATGGCATCTGGCCCTCTCAATTCCTGGCAAATAGATGGGGAAGAAATGGAGGTAGTGACAGATTTTATTTTATTTTCCTGGGCTCCAAGATCACCACAGATGGGGACTACAGTCAAGAAATTTAAAGACGCTTGCTCCTGGGGAGGAAAGCTATGGCGTATCTAGACAGCATACTAAAAAGTAGAGACATCACACTGCCAACAAAAATGTGTATAGTCAAGGCTATGGTTTTCCCAGTGGCAATGTATGGCTGTGAAAGTTGGACGATAAGGAAGGCTGAACACCAAAAAATGAACTATGGTGCTGGAGAAAACTCCTGCAAGTCCCTCGGACTGCAAGGTGATTAAACCAGTCAGTCCTAGAGGAGATTCATCCTGACTGCTCTTTAGAAGGCCAGATCCTGAAGATGAATGCGAAGGAAGGACTCACTGGAGAAGAGCCTAATGCTGGGAACGATTGAGGGCAAAAGAAGAGGGGGACAGCCTGGGAATGAGTGACTGGATGGAGTCACAGAAGCAGTCAGCATCTCTCTCTCTCTCTCTCTCTCTGTGTGTGTGTGTGTCAGTGTCTGTCTGTCTGTCTGTCTGTCTGTCTGTCTGTCTCTGTCTCTCTGTCTCTCTCTCACTTTAAAAGCTGTGGCTGGGCCAAGCGCTCTTCGCTACTTTCAAGGGATGGTGGCAAACAGAGGAGCTTCCACAGGGCATGAACCACCCAAGTGGAAGGTTTCCCCCCTCTCCCTAACCTGAAGAAGGAGGAAAGCTGCATTGACTTGCTTTCTGCTGGTTGTCGTACGGAGCATGGCGAGTGATGGGGTTCGGGGTGGCGGGGTGGGAGAGAGAGAGGTTGAGCTTTGCAATATGCTGTGGGGTGGAGCTCTGCAGCATTTGGGGGGCTGTCGAGCTTTGCATCATGGAGTGGAAGGTGGGGGGGATTTGCAGACTACACTGGCAGGGCTGGGGGAAGGAGAAGAGGTGAGGAGGGGGGATTTGCAGGCAGTAGGGCTCAGAAGAGAGAGCGCGCAAAAGCTCTTTCCATTTTCCCAGGCCTTTTCTTCCTTCGTGGGTGGCATCTTCCGCAGCATCAGTACCACCCCGTTTTCCTTTGCTCATCTCTTTCATGACCTGGGGCGGGGTGGGTGATTGAGCAGGTTTGTGCGGGGCGTGTGGAGGGCTGAGAGGGGGCGAGTGCTGAACGGATATTTGAGGGGAAGGCAGCGTAGGGAAGAGGCAGCTGGCCAGACCCACGCAAAGAGCAAGCAGAGTGGTGGGTGGGAAGTCCCTGAAAGAGGAAAGGGGAGAGGAGGAAGGAGAAATGCAGTCTTCTCCCTCATTGGGGGGGGGAAGGGTCACCACATGCAGATGGCGTGGGTAGGTGGGAATGGCAAGCACACACGCGCGTCTGCCTCTGCATGGCTGGAGCTGAAGGCACCGGTGATGTTAAATGGAAATTGATGAGACGCTTCCAGCGCAGCTGGTGATCCTTGTTCAGCCATTCCCTTCAGGCGACCCTTCTCTTCCTTCACTCGCTACTGGCACACACACACACACACAGACACACACACACACACGGACACGGACACAAAGAGTGGGGGAGAGAGAGGGGAAGATAGGAACCTGGCCACTTTGCTATCCCCTGCCATCGCCCTTACCTTGTCAGGCCAGGTGAGGGAGGGGAGGGTGAGGGGTAGGACCAGCTGCTTCAGGCAAAGTGAAGAGGTGTCAACCAAGCACAGGCGAGTAGAAAAGGTGGCTCCTGGCTAAGCCAGCCGAGTGGCTGCTGCTGCAGGCATTGGTAGCGGAGGGGGGGGCAGATGCCCCGGGATATCCGCCCACCTACCTGCTTGCTGGCTGGGCTGGCCTAGGCTGCAAGAGGTGCATCCGACACCAGGAGAAGGAAGAAAACGTGCTCTGGGAGGGAGGGCAGGCAGGCAGATGTCCCGGGGCTGCTGCACATGCGCACATCCACCCGAGCTACCCCATGGCCACCACGTGATATGGAAAGCTAGGAGAGCAACTGGGACAAAGCAGGCGACCGGGCGATGGGGCGACCCTGTTCGGGGGTGTGGCCAGTCAGGGGTCACCACCAGTTCGGCGACCCATACCAAATCACCACTACCGGTTCTCCCGAATAGGTGCGAACTGGTTCAATACCACCTCTGCCATGGGGTTGCAATGGGTCAGACATGACTTCGTGACTAACAACAACAAGAAGCCCAGGCAGTCTGCCCAAATGAATATACCCTGCTCCTAAAGTCAGTTCAACAATCATATCCCTCAGAGAGCAGCACTGAAGCAGGGCAGCAGCCTTTGCCAAGCTGCGGCTCTGCAAAAGTATATTTTAAATGGTATTTGTTTATTTTAATCCCCATCCTCATACTTTTTGTTCCTACATGCTTGTCTAAAGACTCAGAAGCCAGACTAGGAGAACTGATACAATACATCCTCCCCTTAGACTATTACTCCAATGGATATAGAACAGGAGACTTTGTTCATGCTTTATCTCATGAGGAGGAGGAGGACAAATAGCCACTCTTTGCTTGCAATTTACAACAGTGCCAGGTTGACCTGCTAACCCCAATTATACCTTTTCCTGACATAAGACCCTATCTTGCTCCCATGCCATTATTTAAATGGTTGCATCCCTTAGAATTTTTTTTTTAAAAAGAAAACGCTGAATCAGATGTCACAGTGCTTTGGCATTTATTGGATATGTCCATCTTGATTGTCATTAGTAAATTTTACTGCAGTTAACAATGATTTGTGAGAGGGGTGCCGGTATTCTAGGAAGGAAAATAAATATGTATTTTCAGCCAGTCAGAACCATCCAAATGTGCATTTATCTACTGATGTGGGAAACATTCTTAATTGAATGAGCGTCAAGAAGTAACCTTACAGGTAGTCCTTGACTGAGAACTGTTCAGTGGTGGAATTCAATTTTTTTTTTTACTACCGGTTCTATGGGTGTAGCTTGGTGGGCATGGCGTGGCTTAGTGGGTGTGGCAGGGGAAGGATTCCCACCCTACTCCAGGGGAAGGATGCTATAAAATCCCATTCCCTCCCCACTCCACTAACCTGCTTTCCAGCTCTGTTCTCCTGTGCAGGGCAACAAAAGAAGACCCAGCCGATCAGCTGGGACTCAGGAGGCAGAGAATAGATGGGGTCGGGGCCAGTCAGAAGTGGTATTTGTTGGTTCTCTGAACTACTCAAAATTTCCGCTACTGGTTCTCCAGAACCTGTCAGAACTGGCTGAATACCCCCTCTGCAACTATTCCTTTAGTGACTATTTAAAGTTACCACAGCACTTAAAAAAGTAACTCATGAGTTTTTTCATACTTACAACTGTTGCAGCATCCACATGGTCACCTGATCGAAATTTGGATGCTTGGCAATGGGTTCATATTTATGACAGTTGCAGTGGCCCAGGACAAGTGCCCTTCTGACTAGTGAAGTCGATGGGTAAGGCAGAGCCACTTAACCACTGTGTTACTCGCAAAACAATAGTAATAGCACTTAAGACTTATATACTGCTTCACAGTGCTTTTATGGCCCTCTCTAAGCGATTTACAGAGTCAGCACATTGTCCCCAACAATCTGGGTCCTCATTTTACCCACCCCTGAGTCAACCTTGAGTCTGGTGAGATTCCAACTGCCAAATTGCAGCCAGCCGGCAGTCAGCAGAAGTAGCCTGCAGTACTGCATTCTAACCACTGCGCCACTCTCGAAACAATTGCAGTGATTCACTTAACAATTGTGGCAAGAAAGGTCATCAAATGGGGCAAAACTCACTTAACCACCGTCTCGCTTAGCATCAGAAATTTAGGGCTCAATTGTGGTCATAAGTCGAGGACTACCTGTACTTATCTTTAGCTTAAAAAAAAAAAAGACAATGGCACTTGACAAACTTGCACTTTAAAAAAAAATGACATAAAAAGCAAATATACCTCGTGATACTTCTTCACCAGTTTCCCTGCTGTACAAGCGCATTTCCCATTTGTCGTTCCACAACCACAGTTCCCTCCACAGCGCTGGACAAGGAGGCAGCGAGGGAAAAAGACGGCGTTGGTTTGCTTCAGCTCTTCCCTAATGTTGACAGAGTAATTCCTTGGAGTGCAGCTGTAACGCTTTGCCTCATCGTTCAGCCTGTCTAAATCCACTGAAACAGGCAAAATGAATCAGGAAGAAAAAAAGAGAGAGAGCAGACTTGTGAATAAAATACCTCTTCCCCATAGAAGTCAGTGAATCCATTAATATTGAGAGTTTTGCAACGATAATTCAGCGCCAGAAAAATAAACACAGATGGCTGATGCTTCTTTTAACATCTTTATAAGCATAATAAGATTTTACAAACCAGTTGTAGATTTCTCCAACATGGAGCAAACAGAAACATGTTGCAAGTTCAGAGCAGAGCTCCAGTCTTCAGCAAGCAAGCAAGTTAGTTTCATCTTCAATACACAGACTCAGAGATTCAACATAGCTGCAGAGTTGCAGACCTTCATATAGAGCCACGCCTAGGCTACTTTTAGTTTCAGTTTCCAACCTAGGCTAGTTTCAGTTTCCAAACTATCCTCCTTGGGTGATTTAGTTGCTATGCCTATTCATTGGCTGACCTTGTTACCATTTTCTATTCCAGTTCATGCATATACTCTGACAATTAATCTCTGGGCTAAATTAATTTTTATTACAATCCAGTCACCGCCAGGCTGTGCAGATCTTGGAATGGGGGCTTTGTCTGATTAAAACTATATTTTTAAAAGCAAAGAAAAACACATAGAAATTACAAAAATAGCAATAACATTGGCAATAGCATTTAGGCTTATACACCACCCTGTAATGCTTCCAGAAATCTCTGGGTGATAAGCATTATTTGTATATTGTCTCCAACAATGTGGGTTCACGTTTTATGGACTTCAGAAGGATGGAAGGTTGAGTCAACTTTGAGCTGCATCAGGATCGAACTCCAGGCTGTGGGCAGAGTTTGCCTGAAATGCTGCGTTATAACCACTGCACCACCAAAAATACAAATATTTGCATGGAAATGCAAGTAACACTCAAGCCAGAGGAGATAAGCATGGACTTCATCCTTTTATTAAGTTATATAGAGTGATTTCTTATACTTGTAACACTTTTTTTTGTCATTTATATATTTCTTTGGAACAAATCTTATTTGATCAGAAGCTGCTAGGAGATTATTTTTTTCTGTTAGGATAGACATAAAAAAGTTTATAATTAACTTTGCAAAAATTGGTCTGCGTGACTCAACACCTTCCTTTAAAAGGTCCCTGAAAGTACTGTGCTTCTAACCCTGTAACAAGGGAAACTTAGGTAATTAGTTCCTGGATAAGGGGAGGATTTCAAAATCCAGCATTTATTTATTTGTTTATTTGTTTATTTATTTGATTTGTCAAACGCTTACAAGATAATAGGTATAAGTATAAACATGAGTAAGATAATAACATAATAATAACATAATATAATAATAACCAGGGATGGGATCTGACCGGTGTAACTACCGGTTCTGTTGTTCTGCCTTGTGCGAATGCAATTTACGACCTGCTGAGCTGCCTGGACAGCTGAGCAGTGCTCATGCAAGTGCACAGTGGTTGGAAAAGCCCTTTTTTCCTGCTTTTTCAACCGCAGCTGTGTCACGCAAAGCAGTTGAAAACGCAAGAAATAAAGGTCAGGTAAGAGCCCGGGCGGGCGAGTGGGCCAAAACAGCAGCAAACATAGAACCAGTTCTACAGAAGTAGACAGAACTGGTAGAATCCCACCCCTGATAATAACATAATACTAACATCTCAGACTAGGGATGTCTAACTTCTCCACCAACACATTCAGTGAAAAGGAATCTATCACCTTTCCAGGCAGCTGGTCTATTGTTGAACTGGTCTATTGTTCATCCTATTATGAAGTGTTTCTTCTTTTTGGTCCCTAACAATCTGAATCCAATCTGAATCTGTGATTTATTGCCTATCCTGTCTTCTGGAGTCTTGACCTTCAGGTATCTGAAGAAAGCATGTGTTCTTCACTTTATAGTTTTCTCAAGGTTAAATGTTTCCACTGCCTTCAATTACTGTTCAAAGGACTTAATTTCCATTCTGTAATTGTCTTTCCTGACATCTAAAGTTCTTTCAGTTTAACTGGTTCTGTCACACCCCAGGACTCAGCACAATACTTGAGGGGGAGATTGGCCAAAGCAGAATGGTAACCATTACTTCCTGCAATTTAGGAACATTGTTTCTGTTTTGTATTCTAAAATTACATTTACCTTTTTTGTAGCCACATTCTTGACTTATGTTCAATCAACTGGTGGCTTAATTGTCAAATTAGATATGTCAGAAGTGTAAAATGATGGTGATGATGTTTAGGTATATGATATGGTCTTGCCTCAATATCATCCTCTTTTGGTTTAATATTCATATTTTTGGTAATATGGATTTTAGAAGAGAAATGTGTGGTAAAAATATAAAAGTGATTCTGAGTTACACATTCAAAATTTGGAATTTATCTTTAGGCTAGCTCGATACCTGTGCTTCGCTACAAAACTATGTGGTCGGGCTTAGTTTTTTGGAAGGAAAACAAGTGTGTGTGGGGGGAATTCTGCCTCTACCTTCCCGCATCCATCGGTATTCATCTGGCTAGCATCCTGTCAGTGTGTGAGAGAATTGAGGAAACTGAAACAGTATTTGCTGTGTGAGCAAGAAGGAGACAGCAAGGAGCCTGGACATGGCTTAGCTCAACTGTTCTGTACTAAAGCTGGTTGCTGCTGTGAAACTAAAACTGAAACTCCTCTCCTCTGCTTGTGTTTTGCATTTGGAACAGATTTCTTTTCAGATGGGAGGGGAAGTAGAACTCCTTAGCATCAGAGTGTGTTAATAATTTACAAAATACAAATGCTTTGATGGTCATTTTGAAAAATCTTTTCTTAGTGAGCACCTAGAAGCCAAGAGGAACACACATGCCAAATTTCAAGTTTGTAGGCTTTACGGTTCTGGATATTTTGTGATGATGCATGAGTGGTATTTTGCTTTTATATATATATAGATGATGAAGAACTATGGATTTACCAAGGATGGGTGTCGGAAAAATATTCTTAGACATAGAAAACAATACCTTATACTGATAACATGAGTTTAAGATTTATCTTTCTGTTCATGTAACAGAAAGACTATAACTTTGTACAAATAAAGGAGAATATTCGTAACTCAGGGTTGAAGTGAGGAGCTTGTTTTCTTGCAGACGTTTCATTACCCTAACTAGGTAACATCATCAGTGCTGGTGCTCATGATGTTACTTAGTTAGGGTAATGACATGTCTGCAAAAAAACAAACAAGCTCAGAGAGCACCAAGGACCCCTTTGTCCTTATTCTTTTCTTCTTTCACTTTTTTCCTGTTTCATTTCATTTTCAAAATCCTTTTTAAAGCCTATTAAAGGAACAGAAAGGAGGGGATGAGTTTTACAATTTGGTATGTTTGGAACGGAATTTAATCACCATTGCTTTTACTTTATAGCAGGGATGCCAAACTGGTGGCCTGTGGGCTAGATGTATCACACACAGGCCATGCCCATGCAGCTCCACAAAGGGGGAAAATGTCATGATATGTCATGTGATGCAGCAAGTTTGACACCCATGCTTTATAAGAATGATTCTAGACTTCTGCTTTCAAATACTCCATTAATGTCAGACAGGAAACACCTGGTGGAAATGATGGCGATAGCTAAGGAGGACTTTGAATGATCCAAAGATGAAATTACAATTTATGTACTAAAACAGCGGTCACCAATAGCATCCAGTCATTTGTTGTGAGATTTTTTTTTAAGTGGATAATACTTCTGAGATTACAAACAAGATTCTGCATGAAATCTTGAAATAAAACACAGTGACCAGGTGACATTTCAGTGATCTGATGCAGGATCTCAAATGTAAAAATTCTCAATACTTTCATATACATATTTTTTACATACGGGAATGGATGCCCGGGCTATCAGAATAAATTCTGATATTAAATATATGAATCTTTAATAATAACTTATAACATTTGCTATTTTCCCAAGAGCGCCATTATCTCTACAAAGATGTATATATTCCTTGAGATTTAAGCATAAAATCAATGGGAGTTACCAGTGCACTCAAGCACTGGAAGCAAGATCTGGTGTGCATAGCAAAGAAGAAGGAGAATAGAAAACTATTGATTATTCCTCTTAAAGGGTGAAATTTGATGCTCTGTCATTCTTCAAATTCTTCTGCCTTTCATGTCTGGCCATTCTGCCTTATTCTGCTTATGAGGAAGAAAAGCTTTTCAATGAGAGATTAATTTTTCATTGTCACTAATTGTGGGCATATCCAGTCACGGCTTTCCAAATGTTTTCCTACTGCTTTTGAGAGTGCGCATGCAGGGCTCAAAGACCGCCCTATGTATCAATGCTAGTGAGATGTGCTTTTTTTTAGCTCAGCTGAGTCGCAGCAATCCGCTCTGCCACACAAATCAGCTGAGCTAAAAAACAAGGGAATATAGGAGAGGTAACAGTGGGTGGTGGGTGGGTGGGGCCAGCCAGAGGGACTATTTGCTGGTTTTCTGAACTGTTCAAAATTTCCACTACTGGTACACCAGAACCGGTCCGAACTGGCTGAATACCACCTCTGGGCATATCTAACATCAATTCAGTTATGGGCACTGGTAGCTGACAAGCTGCAAAGGTAAAGAAGTGCATAAGAACTACTGCTCTAAAGTGACATCAGTGAGAAAGAGAGAGGAAGTTATCTCCTTAAAAAATTTAGAGGCAAATCAATGAAATTTGGCATCAAAATAAATATTTAAAATAATGCTCTTTAAGTATGTAGAAAAGCTACAGGAGTCACTGAAGACAAATGCAAATGTTGTGTCTGTCAGTTATTGAATAAACACCAACTCTAGCAAAAGACATTTTATCCCTTGTGGGTAGTTCTCCGGACATGGAATTGTTAGATTAAAATTCCATAGGTTCTACTTCAAAATGCTGGCTAGGAATTATGGAAGTAAAACCCTAAAAGACTAGAAAGGACCAGCCTCAGGAAATATCTTATGGAAGTTCCATGGATGTGAACACACAGACACAGACACACAGACACACACAGAGCCTTATGACCTTTCAAGAAGATGTCTATTACTCCCATG